TTTTTAAAGGTACACTGACAGGGTATTTATGCTCGCTGAGGCTTTTAGTTGTACGTGACGTAGGAGAGCCCAACTACCCAGAACAAAATTTGCGGCTCAAAATTCGGTTTCTTTCTGCCCGAATCATGAACTGGCCGATTAGGGTCGCGCTCATTCTCTTTTCCGCGGTCATTGGCCGTTTTCTAAGGTTTAGACATGACCACCAAATTTAATCAAAGTTGTTGGTCATCAAACCAATATTTAAAATAGAAAAAAATATGACACCCATTTTTTGTGGCTTCTAAAAAGCTGCAAATACGTTGATTAAAAAAAAAAGTTGCACAGAGAACCGGAAGCATTCTGTGCGTTCACTGTGTAATTCTCAACATGCCGTCGTTTCGCATATCGTGGGACTCGCAGGGACGGCGATGGCAGCGGACGACGGGCGTGAAACCTGTACTTCAGAATTCTCATTCGTGGTACCGGCAAATTCTGTCTTCTTTTGAAAGGAAATTTTTGGAATGATCAAAAGATATGGTATTCATCCCATACGACACGCCCTACCACCAAGCCGATTTGCATGAAGATGTCGCTGACCCGTCGCCCCTTTCTCGTGGCTGAAGACATCGCTCGCGCAAACGTCAAGCACGAAGTGCGTAGTTTGAGTTGAATATGCACGCGTACGATTTCTTTACTAGGTGCGAATGTGGCTGATGCGAGGAGCTGCCCGACTTCGACCCGGGGAGTGCTTTTGCTGAAGGAAAATCGGCAGCAAACTTTCCTCCCTACAGTTGACTGGTTGCATTACTACTAACGAAATTGTTTCCCCAGTAGCTCAGTGGAAAAACGTCCGCTTCACACGCCGCGGAACCAGGTTTGATTCCAAATAGGGTGTACATTTTTTTTTTCATATGTTTTGCGATATTTACTTTTTTTTTTTTTTTTTTTACAATTATCATTGAAAAAAACTAAATGTTGTGGACGAAACGTCGCTGAACTACATGGTATGGGATTTCCTTTTTAACTCCTGCGAACTCAGTGTAGTCACTTTCCACAAAATGCAAGGTGCATATAAATCTGGTAGCGTCCGCTATCCGACGTGCCCGTAACTGTTCTGCAGGAATTGCAGCCAGCCATTGGTCCCGATCCCGTTGATTTTTCGGAAACTTTTGCAGACCCTGCCGCACAACGTCACTTTTTTCGGACAGAGGACATGTGAGGCAGCTCTTCACGCAACATCTTGGGGTCATTCTTTTCGGAGCCGATCACGGAAATTTACCACGGGCACTCACTACTCATCTTCAACTCTCCAATGTACAAAACAACTCATCTTGAAGTGCCGAATAGCGAGCGGAACAAGCATAACTGCTAAGGAATCGCACAGCAAACGGTTCCCGCTTACAAATCGTCTGCGGCAAAAAAAAAAAAATTAGAGGGGAAACTACACCTAAGCTTTCCTTATGAGTTGTGAAGGCGAAAGTATGCAAGCCGCTCATCCGCTCCCTTTTTCGTCTGCTGCATACTTTTCGTCGTCGGTCAGCATGTGTGCTCCCCTGGGCGCGGTGAACTTGGACGCTCCGTGCTCAGGACACTGATGGACACGCAGCACCATGGAGTGAGCAGTCGTGGAAACTGACGAGCGCAGCGGCCAATGGGAGCCCTGTCGACACGCGCCAGCCAATAGAACCGAAGGATCGGGGGAACTATGTACCGTTTTCGCGCTTCAAACTGATGACTTCAGCTCGCTCCATGAGACAGCTAATGCTTTTGCATTAAAAATGCAAGGTCGGGTATAGCCACATGGCTTTTGCCACTCACTCTCTTCTCTGCACTTCTCCGACCTTCGTGCCTGATTTCGGTTTCGAACAGCTGCATTTTTCGGCTTTTTGAAAAACATGTGACTGTTGCACACCATTGATTGGGTAGTCTTCCTACACCATAATAAATTGCCTGGCAAGAAATGAAAAAAATTTTGTGGGGGGGGGGGGATGCTTATACGTAATAAAGGCAAGTTTTTAATCTGCTAGTTTTTCTAATTGCTGTATTATTCAATTATTCAATTGTTTTTTGGCCCCTGCGATGTCCAAAAAATAGGTCGGCGACTGTATGTAAATAAGCAGGTTCAAATTTTTAGTGCAGAAACATTTTTTGACTATTTCTGAGTGAAAATGCTTTATGAGGCGAGGCACGTTCACGTGCCAAGAGAAATCTCTCCACTTGTGGGCTTGAACTTGTCTCGTATACGGAAAGCCCTTGCATCACTTGTTTACAACTGGCGCGAGTCTATCTTTGGACATTTTAGTTCGGCAGCCGGTCTCGTTATCGCAGAAATACAAATCATTGGCAATCTGGAACCTATCTTCAAAAAACTTAACCCGATGACCAGTAGCTCTCTCCGTCTCCGCACTATCCCAAAGCTGTTTTCGTTTACGGAATGTTTCCTGGCAGAAGTCGTTTGGAAGGGAGATGCTGGAACCTTTTAACTTAAGGCAGTTCTTAAAAACCTCAATTTTTTCGTTATAATCACGGAACTTCATTATAATCGAATATAGTCTATTATTCGTTCAGCCGTCTGTACAGTCACACCGAGACGACCATGAAAGAGTTCCTCAAGTACTTTTGATTGAATGTCGTCATGTGTTTCGTTTTCAGGCTCGGGAACTCCAAATATGATCATGCCGTTTTCACGGCTCCTGTCTTCATGAGGTCGGTTAACGCAGCTTGTTGATTTGTAACCGTTCTTCGTAATTCGTTTACTGAGCTATGCAGTTCCATGATAGCTTCTTCGTTCTTTTTTATTGCGACTAGTGAGTTTTCAAGACGAGCAGTCCTTCCGCTCATTTCATCTACGGAAGTTTGGAACTGATTTTGCTTATCTTTGATCTGTTTTACATCGTTGGTTATGCATTTTTGACCTTCAAGAATTTGTTCTACCATTATTTCAAGCTTTCTGGGGTTGCGATATACTACTACGTCTCCGCAGAGCGTTAGCAGTATCTTTTTATAACAAAACGACATACAAGAACTAAACACTTCGGGGCAAAATGACATACAAGAAAGGAACTCTCCGGGGCACAGCAGCATGAATAAGCAGCTATTATCGCTTTTGTAGCATCTACCATAGTTTCGGTCGCTCACCTGAATGGAAAACAGGAGCGGCATGTTCGATGCGTTTCATGCACGGCTGCTGGGCCCACTGAAGGACGAAGTGGCAGTAGCTGGTCTTTATCGTAGTGCTGGTGTCCCATGGTTCCGAGTTCTCGTGGTTTCCATTGGCTGTGCCTGATATCCGCCCATGCGTGCAGCAGCATTTGAATGAAAAACAGGAGTGGCATGTTCTATGCGTTCCATGCACGGCCTTTCCAACGAAGGTACTAATGCCATGCTAGGCCTCGCGAGTGAGGCGCTGTGCCGTTCTAAAATTTGAGAAAATGGTGCCTTTCTCGCATCTTCTGCGAGCACTCCGCAGCTCAGGAGCACTGAGGAGTTGAAAATGTTTATTTTCTTGGTAACTACGGTGCTGAAGTTTGCCAAACTTTGCCATGTTGCTCATTAATAGTTAGAATTGCCAAAACTGCATAATTTGAAAAACACTTTTTTTTTTTTGCAGAAAATAAGCATTTTAGGGTTGTGTCCCCCCCTCAACACTTCGAAAAGTATGAATATATCACCATTTATCTCGAAACAAATATTGAATTTCGTATTAATGGGCACTACTATTTTAATATCCACACAACACTAGTGGTTTTACATGTTCTAAATGTGCCTATTGGTGATGTCTTAGAAAAAAATACCCAACAAAACATAACGGAGTTTTAATGCGAAAGCATTAACTGTCCCATGGAGCGAACCAATGTCATCAGCTTTGAAGCCACGCCAAACGTTGGCCAAATGACGCCTAAAATCTCCTTTCCCAAGGGAAGCCGATTTCTGGTGGATTATGCTCCTACAGGGAGTATTCACTGGCGGTCATAGCTGAGCTCGCTGCTGCTTTCTTACCACCGGGGAAGAGAGAGGGGGGAAAGATGCTTTTGTACGAATTTTGAGTGGCAAGTTAATCTTCTATAACCTTCCAGAGGGAGAATAGCGACGTTTGGGGAAGCCTGGGACCTACAAAGGAGAGTCCGGGTGATAAGAGAATTTCCCCTTCCCCTCTTCTCTTGCGGTTGCCCGACAGCTGACGGGAAACTCTTCCCGGGCATGCGCTGTAAGCAGTTACCTCAAATATGGCATCCAGTGAATACCCCCTATTGGCTGGCACGCGTCATCAAGAAACAAGGCTCCCTTTGGCTCTCATTTGGTGCAATTCCAAAAAAAGCCACCAGAGAAGCCCTTTCCGTGGCGGCGCGGCGCATGCAGCAGCGCAGCTGCCGGTAAGAGGTTGGAGCAGTGGCGGCAGAGCGAGAGCCTGTCCAAGCAGACTCCTGAGAGGCCGCACAGTCGAGCTTAGTGCGGCACAGCCACCTCACGAAAGCGCCCCCTCAGCCATCCGCCGGTGACACGTGACTGTCGACGTTACTGCGCCGCAGACAAACTAAGGGAGCGGAAGAACGACATTCATGCTTTCGCATTCATAACTCATAAGTAGTGCCTAGGTGTCCTCGGACGTTTTTTTTATCGCAGGTAGAGCAAGTGAACTGCAAGTATGTATAACACAATCAAAACAAGCATTGCAACGCCGTTGCGCATAACGTTACTGGCATGCACAGCAGCGAACGCTGCTTCGCAGCGGTGTTGCAATGGCGCCAGCGGTCACCGCTGTTGCCGCTGCACCGATCGTGCGAAGAACATACACGGCCGTTGCCACCGCCGTGCGGCAGTGTGCGGCGGCTCATTGTAAAAAATGATAGCCCACCTGATCTAGAGCACTGGATATTCTAAGTTTTTCACGTTTCTTTTAATTCAACTTTCGGATCATTCGACCCAATTTCGCAAGTTCTGTCAAGCTCGAATCAACGGAAGTCGACCGTACCTTCTGTGTTCCCTTTTATATTTCCTGATTCCTTTCTCTCCTCATGCAGGTGCAACTCTCCAAAATCCTGTCTCTAAAGAGAGAAAAGATTGACAAGCTAAGGGAGCTGAACACACAAGCTGAGAAAATGGCAAGTAAAAAAAATGTGGACTTCAAATTTCCGTTGCCTGAGTAAAGTTTCCTAAAACCTGACCATTTTTATGGGAAACTTGTCCTTGCGCAGACGTCGTACGGTCAGCCCATCCTCCCCGAGTTCAAGAAGAGGTATGCGCTGCTGATCATGGAGTTTGAAGTGCTCAACAAGGATCTGCAGGAGTCCCTCGAAGGAATCCTGGCCTATTGTGAAAAGGTACGCAGCTCCTGATCCGTGTCCTGCAGCAGTCTCCGACCGATAAAATTTCATGTGCTTCTCTGTAAAGTGGGCACACCGACTCCTCTCTTCAGCAGTGTGATCTACACTCGGGTCAATACAGTTTATTTATTAGCCAATTTTATAGACAGTTACCATTCCACATAGTCTTTCATTGCAGCAGCGGGGGATATCGGAACTTGTTGAATCCTGGCCAGAACTTCGTAAACTTCTGCCATACGCCTTTACCGGTAGCCCTCGTTATCCTGAAAGCTCCGGCACACAGTTCGAGCAACCACCATATGAAGTCCGTTTCACCTTACGACCGATCGTAGCAGGCACTAGTAAAAGTCATTGAAGTCAACCAAATGCCATGCGAGTACTGTATGACCTCGAAGGAGGGCGCAGCGGTGCGCGAGGTGTGTAGTCGCACGTTTTTGTTAGGCGAAGCGGAGTATGCACACTCTTTGAAAGCTAGCAGAGTATGCACCCTAAGGGCCATGCATCATGTGTCCTCCTCATCAAGATGGCCCCGGAGCAGGGCCTCCAGTTTGTGATCCAGCCCCAGGCGATCCGCAACAAGTGCCTTGAGGAGGCGAGGGAGCTGATGGAGCGCTGCGCTCCGGCAAGGGCAGTCAGCACGCCGTCTTCTTCACCTTCCTTCTCCCCTTCCCCGGCCGGTTCCAAAGTGAAGGACCTGGTTGCCAAGCTCACCTCAATCATGCTTCAGGTCAAGGTGAGCGAGGCCACCTTACGTCTCGGAGGTGGCGTTCGACTACGGAGCCTCGTACGTTTCTCCTTCAGTTGCGTTTCCCGTGTCGTAGAAAGCGGTTCCCCGATTTCCGCCCAATGACGTCGTAGAGGCGTCGTGCTGTCGCTGGACGCGACCACGGCGCGACCACTCCGCATCCACGGCGCCACTCACGTCCGCTCATAGCTTTTGCCGAGACACGTAATACCGACCGCCAGGATCACGACATCCGACAGCACGACTCCCGTTTTTGCGACGTCATTTGTTGCCACTTCGGGTCTACTTTTTGCGCATGGGTGGGACTGGACGCTAAACATGTCGGTCGAAGGTACGTTCTAGGCACCATGGTTAGGCCGGGACTTGTGCTCAGTCAGCTAGGACACCAGTTCCATTACAAGAGTGTGTTACAGGATGGTAGCTATAAGCCACGCATATAACACATTCTGCATTGAAAGTGGTTCTTTGCCTTTTATTGACTACCGTTAATAGCCGGTGGCATGCAGGTGAAGAATTCACCGATGAAAGTGAAGAATTCCGGAGGAACTCTGTCCTCAAATGTTGTGTTGCCGGATTCAAGTCCCTCTGCTGTTGAGAATATGTAGTATGTTGTCCGTCCCACGGCATCGGCTTCATGCAAGAGTGGAGGAAGAGTCTGCAAATAGTGTGTGACGGCAGGACATGACAGGGGCTCAGTTTCACAATGCCTTTGTGCAAGGTTGGACGAGGCAATTGTTGCTTAACTGGTGCGACGACTGACCATGACAACGAGAGTTAACAAGAGTGCCACGTTTTGCGAATGTCTAAATACTATACTTTGAAGGTGTCGTCTTATTAGGCAGTCTCCGTTTATTTGTAGTAAAAACTTCTCAATTCAAATTTTATGGGGATACTAATATATATTTAATTAAGAAATTCTAACTAAGGAAAGTCAACAGAGAGAGGGCCCCATTCTGCTCCAGGCAGAGCCAGGAATGCTCAGAACTGCTGCCTTTTATACACCAACTCCTGTTTACAAACAAATCTGAGTGCCCCTAGTTGGCGCCACCGATGCCGCGCATGCGGGGTGTGGCCAAGAAGCTCGCCATCGCCCATAAACAAACCATTGGAATGGGATGTTGTTGGCGTCTGTGTGTGTCTCTGTGTTCTTTTTCACGTTGGAATCGTTGATTCTACGTTTTCCTGGCAATGTCTGACTACTTGAGCAACGTCAGCAAAATTAACGAGGCTCGTTACACCGCAAAATTTTGCGTGAATATTGGCCCCATGGACTTCTCCCGTGGATATGTTCCTGTCATCACCTCTATTTGAGATTTTCAAAGATAACTAAATAGCATGCCGGGAGGAGTTAAATTCGGGTATTAAAAAATACCAAAAAACTTCTTAAACCTTTTTTTTTTTTTTTTTTTTTGGCTCGATGGCAGAGTTGTTGCGCATTATACACTGAGTTAGCTTGTCCCCTCGAATCATTAATTTCTGCCTACAAAATCTTACACAGGAACAACATGAGTCGAACTTGTCTCAGTGTAACAACAAAGTTTAATTTATGACACAATGCTCTTAGTTGCAAGCGTAGTCAAACCACATGCTCGAGTTCTCTTCCCTACGTCATATCCGTTTACACAATACCTTCGAGGTTCCTTACACCTAGAAGTTAGTCATCTTGAAATATGACGACATCTATCAACTCTGCAGGGGCTATTCGACCGTGTAGAATTGATACATGTCGTAACGTCCCTGCGCCATGCAGTAGCGACTATGCAAATTGAATTTGGGGGTTTTACATGCGGAACCAACGAAGGGAATCTCGAGCACCCCTGTGAAGAACTGAGGATTCATTTCCGACCACCTGGGGACCTTTTGACATGCAACCAGAACCTCGGTTACACGGCTCCTTCTCTGCAATAAGCCTTGGTCAGATTGTGGGCACCTCGACCGGGATTCAAACCCACCAACTGGGGATACGGGGATACATAGGCCGGTGCTAGGCTTTATGGTGTATGGAAATAGACGCCAGTATGACACCCGTCCATATCAAAACTGGCAGGGGTGAAAATAACAGTTCATTGTCTTTGAGCTTACCGTGGGGTCCCTTGCTCGGCGTGCCATTGTTCTGCCTCACCGGTTTGGCAAATGCGCCGAACCTGCCAGAAGCTTCGCGTCCCCTTCTTTTGTCCATGCGTCGCAGAACCTGGCCCAGGGAGACCTGAATTCATTTGAGCTGAAGTCTCTCGGTGAAGCCCTAGCCGACATCCAGAACGGTCTGGACTCTCGGAACGTAGGGTGAGTGGATCCGAATGTCTCAAGCCAAACGTTCAAAATGGCGTAGGATTAAAACGAATCAAAATGACCTCGAGTTATAACCAGCTCATGTTGCACGCAATAATCACGCTGTTTATTTGTTCAGCTTCGTATACTAACACTGCAGGATATTAAAACACACTAAAAAAACAGTGTTTCATGAAGTTGTAACTACAAACAGCCCACTCCCTAAAGCTTCTTGTCAAACTAGAGAAAATTTAGCTGGGCTTGTTAATTTTTCACAATGCCACAATGTATACGGGGAAAGGCTAATCCAATAGGTGACCGGCGTTTTACAACTTCCGGTTCCTTAAGAAATTTTGTTTCACTTGTGGCAAGCGACGACAATCAGCTGCAGGCCTGTGCAAGCATAATTATGAAACTTCCAGACTGTAGTTTTCAGAACCATGCTTAGACAGCCTTGCAGATTATCGTAAACGTTTGTCAGAAGCTTAACAAAATTTGCTAAGGAACCAAAAGTTGCCAAACACCGCTCACCTATTCACTAGTACGAAAATCTGGAACTCATTGTCAGTTGATCTTTGAAATTTGCATAACTTTAATAAAGCACCGAAGCTTTTGCCATATAACTTTTACATTAAACCTTCAATGATCACTGAACACCGAACGGGCATCCGTTTTCTTTTTGGTTTATTAGTGTCTACATGGAAAATTATTGAAATATTGAGTTTTTATTCCTCTCCAACTCACCGCAAAACAAGCCACGGCATAATTTTGTCGGTCGTGACGTACTCAACACCGGGCGGTAGGAGAATGGGAGCATTAGCGGGCAAGCTGGTGATGTGCCGGTAGGTTTTACCAGAGGATTTTACTGCACTGATGGCGCCGATGCTACCGACATACTTTCTGAATAGGCGCCTCTCATCACCGCGATAGCCATGGACACATCTCAGCTGAGTGAAATTCAATTAGAAATGTTGTGCTACTCTCGCAGCATGGGATTGGTCCCATACACCAGTATGAAGCGCAGCAGGTCGTCAGCACGACAGCTTCTTCTCCGCAGCCATCAGCCTTTTCCTCGGTGTTGCTAAAAAAGAAGGGGACGCGCTGTCACTCAGTGGTGTAGCAGAAAATGCACAAAGTTTTCTATCAGCTCAAGCTTTATTAACTTTTATTTTGTCAGGATAGGCTCGCAGTGCAGAGTGGATGAAAAAGGAAAAGAAGATGATGCAGTACGCCGTCTTGGACGATCACGACTTTAAAACACGACTTTACTGATGATAGTACAAATCTTGCCACACACCTTTTTTCCGATTGCAAAAGACAATGTAGCTTATAGCCGATACACACGACGGACTGATCCGCGGACGGATTGATCACGTGACGACATATCCGCGGTTCGTCCGTCTCCCAAGCGCATCCACACGAGGGAGACGACGAGCAGACGCCAGTGAGGACGGACCGAACCTGTTCGCACCCCACAGTGCCGCGAAACTCCAACATCGCACTGTAGCACCGTTGTCCAAGAGAGAAATCGACGGTTGCTACCGCGATAAAGAATCGTACGCCGCTGCTACGTACAGATCGAGAACAAAACACCGGGACAGGCTTCGCGCGAAGCGCCACTAACTTTAATAACCCAAAGCATGACAGTGAGACAGGCATGATCCTGCCCGAGAAAGCTTCGGCGTAGACGCGACGAACTTCCCGGCTCGCGGAGGGGCGTTTGGAGATGCCTTCACACACTCCGCGCTCGTGCACAACACTCAAGCACACCACATCCACAAGAGAGGGCTTGCTCGGTGAAATCCTGATTGGACGTGCAAGATTTATCGCGGCGTGCTATAGACGAGTTTTGACGGGAGCTTCTTGACACGGACCCGGAGGAGCACCGGAACCTGCGTCGCGTCAGCCGGACAAAGTTTCTGGAGTTTCTCTCACGCGTGGAACCAAGAATCGTACGACAAAATGAACCAACAAACGCACAAAACGCAACGACGCGCCATTTTTGTTTTGAACGCACAGAAGCAAAATACCAAGAAAACCATGTACCGTTGCCAGACTAAATGCTTTCCAAGTCAGTCTGCCGCCAGACGTCCGCGAGTGAAAAAGGCGCTCGACTTTATCAGTCCGCGCCTCCGCGGAGGAGGTGCGGATCGCAGGGTTCGGTGACGTGCCGGTCACGTGGTACACGGTCTGCGGACGAAAATCGCGATTTGGTCCGTCGTGTGAATCGGCTATTAGCAGAGATATAGCAACGTAGAAATATGATTTTGTGATCGCATAGACATTGCACTCGTTGAGGAACGCTAACGCTAATCAGTTTTCTCGGGTGATGAAAACTCATCAAAATTTGCATCCTTCATACACCCCTTTAAGGGAGGACACTACCCAAGTGGGTCAACTTTTGAACCTATGACTTCATATGAATGAAATTTACAATGTACACTGGCAGTTACAAGACATAATGCAGTGCAAAGTTTCATCTGTGTACATGATTTGTAAAATAAATTATAGTCGTCTTTATCAGGAATGCACCGACTTTGTTTAGGAAAACAGTTGTTAGGAAACTAATGTAATACCCAACATTTGTCTACTCTAGATCTGCAGCAGAATGCGTGGAGAGTGCAACTCTGAAAACAAAATTTCCAAAAAGTTATTTATTTCATGCTAACATCGCAATGAAAAATTAAATAAATTACTTTTTCCTATAATGTTGTGGACAAAATCTTAACATCTTTTATAAAATACATCCACAAAGTCAAAAAACAATACCGCAGTTGTATGGCCCAAAAAATTCCAGTTAGAAAAAAGAATGAGTGAGTCTTTTCTCTTGTCCCATTAACAAACGATAGATTTCCTAAAATCAAATTTATGCCAAGAAGGGGTACGGAGAAAAATGTGTTCAAAGTGCTCCAAACCCTAGCTTTTTGTTTAGTTTCGGTGGACCAAAAATGATTGATAAAATATTGAGTAGTAGCCAATTGGCTATGGGCTCATCCATCTTTTCAATACTTTGTATGTGCATTACCTACCCCACGTTACCTCGAAATAAATGTAACACATTGCCTCCAACTGGCATGGCGTGCTACCCGAAATGCAAAACGGAAGACCAGGATTTCGAAGAATTTTTGGCCGTTGTGGGCTCGTCCCGATACGTACGATTCCTGAACGTGTCTCTGACATATTTTTAAGAAATCCGAGACAGGGGAAAAGAAAGGGATAAACACAATGAAGTCTCAAAACGCAGTGGCAAAATTTATTCACAGGAACAGCCTCTTATATAAACAAAACTCACCCCCGCCTTGAAAACGACAACCGTTAGCCCTATAAGCAAGAAAGGTGGGACGACCCATCACCTCAAAATGGTGACCCAGCCAAAAAAATGTTTTACATTATACAGACTCATTCTTGCTTTGAAAACGAAAAAGGTTCTTTTTAAATATGAACATTTATCAGCTAGCCTGCACCACTATCCTTATTACTCCATCTCTGACTGGTGGATTTACTGCACCCTCATTTGCGTTCCCTTGAATTCCACCTTACGACGTCGCACTCGCGTCCCGCTGTTGTCTGCAGCGATCCCGGCTCCAGTCTCGGCAGACAGATGTTCCACCGCGGGTCACTCGAGATGCTGATTCTCGTATATGTAAACTTATAATTATTAATTTTTTTATTCATCAAAATGTACAGGCTTCTATACTTCGTCTCACCTTAGAATGGACTATTGTTAGCCGCACGTGCCGAAAGCCCGAGCTAGTTGCTTTGGATGAAGCCTCGGCGGCTGCACAAGCGCTCGTACAGCTAGTGCTCCAGTCAAGGCAGTCGAAGCTAGCCGCTCGCGCTTGCACAGCCTTCGCAGTTAGTCCGTGCTAAGGTGAGATGAAGTATAATACAGAAAGGCTTCTTCAATGATGTCCAAATCTTATAAAAATAAATATAAAAACTACTTTTCACGGCATTAGTAACATCTTGTTTCTTTTATTACCTTGTGAGCGATGCCCATTTTGCTACAACCTTTCATATGGTACTTAGACACAAGCAGGCTGGTGATTGTTCGTTTTGGAAGAAATGAAAGATTGCCAGTTTCCTGCTTCTTCACCAGCTTGTGCGTTCCTCAGCCTGACTTATGTTTTTCACCCTTTGCACCGTCTACAGTCTCAAGTATTTCTCGTGGCAGAACTAACCTCGTTCGTGTTCCTCTCTTCACGTGTTGTTGTTGCAGGGTATTCCAGAACAAGGTCCAGATTCACATCAACCACATCCAGAATGGACTGAGCCAATTGGGCAACCTGCACGCGTTCACGTCGTCATCCCAAGACGTGTCGGTGTGACCCCCAGGCGTCGGTCTAGCCGCGTCGACAAAACTTTTGGGTGTGGTTTGGTGCGTGCACGGATTCACCGAGCGTGTCTCTTGCTTCCTCGCATACCGGATGGGTCAGCTGGATAATAGGGCCTTTGAATGGACTGCACAAATCCTTTCGCGCAACTAGCGCGCTCAACTTTGCCACAGCAGCGAACTGAAAGAGTTGATTTCTTCTTGTTGCACTTTGTCGGTGTTTGATCAGGGATCAATTGATTGCTTAGAGTTCAGTGGCGCAAAAGATTTGGCCGTGACATGCCAGGTGCATCGACTTCTGTTAGAGGAGGCTTATTACTTCAATCAAAAGATTTTGTTCGACACATTCTTCTTTTATTTTAAGATGTCATCGAACGTCACTTGATAGAGTCACCTGACCATGTGCTATCCTGGTGGTCATGGGACACTATAATGCCATGGAGGACCTATAAATGCTACGCATTTACAGCCGAATTCACAAACCTCACTCCAATTGAGGGGCCCCGCCACTACATCGAGGAAGGCGCGAGGGCCGGCACTGGCTAATCGCGAAGAGCCTAGGCCACCTATCCGTCGTCGCGAATGGCCAGCGCCGTCCCTTGCGCCTTGCTTGTGGAAGGAAAGGTGCCCCTCGATTGGAGTGAGGTTTGTGAATTCAGCGGTTAAAGTGACTTTGTGATGCGCCAAACGAGACAGGCAGTTTTTCTTTTTCATACTTATATTGTTGCTCAAGCTGCTGTGGTCATTCTGACTCGGTCAAAATAAGAGTTGTATGTGCTAATAGAGTGGTGGTCCTTGGAAAATTCCGACAGTGGAGGAGGGCAATAGTCTGGCAACCTGTGAGTTTAACTGTCTGCCACTTTCTCTATCAGTACTAAACAAACCAATTGGCATCTCTGTAAAATGGCACATGACTCTTTATTTTTCTTCACAGTATTTTAGAGGCGATAATTTGACGGTATCTTCTTTTGTCTCCTGTTTTTGCTGAATCAGAGGTTGTGGCACCTGGCTGTACGATTTCTGTTGTTTGACTTTGAAGGTAGGCTTAACTGGATCATTTTCGTCAAGGGCAACTCCGCTAAATTCCAAAACTTTCGGGATGATGAGTGATTTTCCATTACAAAGCACTAATAAAAGCCCCTACATCATTTGCCTTTGTAAGAAATGGGATATATATATATTGTTAACTTTTACCTAAAACATGAGCAGAAATCGAAACCTAAACTTTGGCTCCGTCTAGCAACCTGGGCCTTGGGCCGCCAAAAACATGGCTATCACGTGGCACAAGATGTCACGTGATCCTCTACACTATGACGGTTGGGACTGGGGCGGGCCTGCGGACCACCGTTGGGGCAGGCATGTGCCAGGCGCAAGTGTCATCTGAACCGCACTCTTCACCACGTTTTGGTGTCTACGACATTCGACGACGTCTGCACAACTGCGGCGTCGGTCTGTGCAAGTAGTGGGAACAAAATGCCGAGAGACAATAATTACAAACAGTGAGACGACCACTGCAGTTGTGAGGGGAGATGGCTTTAACAGCCGGACGGCTCCCAAGAAGCGTGCTACGTGAGTGTGTTGCACCAATCACGTAGACACTAGACACTGCTAAGCACCGAGAGGAAACATTGCTGACGTCACCTGTTACGCTTGCCCAGAGAAGTAAAAAGAAAGAGAAAAGGGCAATTGTGATGAAGTTTAGCTCAATGTTGGCTTTGCCAATGTCATAGCCTTGGCTGTGCTGTTGGTTGCACCGCAATTCGCCCGCTAGTCAGACGATTTCAGCAACTTGGTGCATTTCAAAGTTTGCCGAACCGTTGAAGAAACATTGAGACAGAACTAGGTCGTTATATTTGATGTGTGGTCTTCCTGGGTGATACTGAAGAGGACTGCGTTGTTTTTTTCAAAAACAAAAATGAAGCGGGGTTGCCCTTTAATAGGATAAAATCAAATTACTTGATTTTCGAGGGCTCAATATTTTGCGAAGCAAAGGTTGCGGAATTGTTTCGTGGGCTCGGAATTTTGTAATTCTGAGAGGTATGTTCAGCATTCATCACCACGGGGTGGTGTATTTGCGTTATCTATATTTCACAATATTTGCCGAATTTCGAAGTTTGAGAAAATTAAATTGTGTATGTATTTGTAACTTTTGACAAAGGCAATTAGATCATCCAATGTTCGCATCTGTAAAAGTAAATCTCAGCATGGTGGTTTTAGGAACGGATTAATGCGGTTCGTTGGAGAGCCTGACCGTCCATTTGACTCATCCTGTTCAGATCATCGCCCGTGTTCAACAGGCAATTGCTTTGTGATCATGGTGACTGCCCTATAGACCTTTTCATCTCAGTAGTTACCTTACCGGTGGACAGAGGGTGCTGACCCATGCGGCGCCATAAGGTGGCTTCAATCTGGTTGGTTTTGGTTTCAGCGGGCTCACGGCTGTGTTGGTGTGTTATGGCATTTTCGCTTAGTTTTGTGATATAAATGTATCCCTTGTGGTACCTTGAGAACTAGGACATAGTTACAGCCCTAACTTCTGGACGTTTTTACAAATGCCTTCATCTGATCATGTTCTTCATTCGGTCAGGTTCGGCGGCGAAACAACTGAAATGATGCTGGCTGAGGATTACGAATGTCTAGGGCCATACTGGACTGTCCTGCTGATACTAGTTTCCATAAAAATAAACTATAATTAAGAGACTAATGCTTGGAGGCACAGTGAAAAAGCAGGTCGACAACCTGAGTAATAATGTGCTGAATCGCTAAGAACAGATGAACTCGCAGGTTTAGTGCTCACCGTTCGCTTTTTGAGTCATAAGCTGTTATAAAATATAGTGCAGAAGTTGTGCAACTAATGATGACATGCAGTTAGATACTAAAATTAAATATCAGACGACACTTCACAAAGCAAGAGAAAAAATTGTGGTGAAACGCGACCAAAAAAACTAATACAATGCTTTTGCCAAAGCGCAGAGGGAAAAGAGGAGCGACAATTTGAAGCCACCTTATGGCGGCCACGTCACGTGATTCCAAAACAGCAGCACCCATGTGACGGAGTGTGAAGGGGTCTATTAATTTCTGATTGTCGCGGTGACACAAAGCATATTGTCTAGTTTGTACCTGTGTGCCCCATTTTCCGTAGTTCATAGTTCGTGGGTCGTTCTTTGCGATCCACAGGGGAAGGCGTGGAATGTCTGTGTAATGTCTCTTTCCGATTGAACCTAAACAGAAAAAAGCAACTTAGAAATTGTTGACTTGCTTCTAAGAAGACTTGCTTCTAAGAAGTTTTGAAGATCAAGAAGAGTGATGGGGATTTGTTTTTAATTTTATTTTTTAAACAAACCGTTTGCTTGCATATAAACAGGCTGTCCACTGTTGAACTGGCGGCGTCATTTTCTGGGCGAAGGTTTCAATTTGTTGTGGCAATAAAGCTTGTATTTATTTTTCGAGGCCCTAAAATTCGGATCACTCCAGGGAGAAGAGCGGTGCATGTCTCTCCAACTGTAAGTGCTTTGGGCGTGAAGGACGGGGTCTACGACTTATCAGACCAGGGGTCCGATTTTGGTCGCCACTAGAGCGAGATTGAATTTCCTCGTAAAGTGAGCAAAAAAAGCGCTCGTAGACTGTTCATCTGCTAACTTGAGCAAAGAATGCGGTTCGCAGACAGAAATAAAACAAAAAAAAACACCGTGCATCACCTGCTAACGGAGCAGAAAGAAGGTTGATTGTCTGCTAAGAACCGAGGGGGATGAGACTGAGGGGGATGAGACTCAGGCTGGAATTGGGATTGTTTGCTATTTCACGTCGGAAGCCAGTGATTGCTTGCACTTTATTTACAAATCTCAAGTTCCGCCGTACACAAGCTAACATTGAACGGTGGATGAAGGAGTACTAAAGACGAGCACATCGGAGACTGGGAGGAGTCGCGATTGGGTCAAAAGTGCCTCATTGGCCGATTATGCGGAAGCTGTGGAACCACGTCCAATCGGCAGCCGAGGACACTCTTGCTCTCGCCTCGACCAAAATGGGACCTCGGGCTTGGGTTGTTTAAGTAGCCGGGGTCTTTATGCTGTTTTGTACAGGAGCTTTTCTTGCGTATGTCGATGCACATTGACACCTTTTTTTATCTTTATTTATTAATGATTTCCGTCGCTTGTGAAGTGAGAGAGAGGAGCATGCAGTTTTGTAGCATACAAAATAACATGTGGTAGGCTTGTTGGGCTCCGAGTTTGCATGTCTGGGCGTGACTTCGTTAAGCAAGGGTACGGTAGCCTGGTGTCTGGGAGGCCACGAGGGATTTAAGAACCACAGTAGAGGAGTCTGGATATTTTATAACAAAACAAATAAAAGTTTATTTACCTGTACATTTGTTGTGAAGTTTGTATCTAAAAGTCTGCACCAGCTTTGGGGGGGGGGGGGGGGGGGGGGAACAAACTTTTAGCATGTGCACCCTTCTATCGGTGACGAGATGTTTTGGTGGCGCCACCTCGTGGGCGCCCTCCTGTGACAGAGCTGGTAGGATGCGAGCAGACTACGCAATATGTCAAACCACAAAGCAGCTATGTTAGTTTGCATCTTTGCTGCTTAAAAACGGTTTATTCCTTAAAGAAACGTGTATGACGTTTTTCTGAGTGATCGTTCTAATGAATAACGGTGTCTCAAAGTTGCTTTTTATATTAAAAAAAAACTTTAAAATCATCAAAAACAAGCTTGGAGCTTCACATTACGGCGTGCATCAGGGCGATTCACAGCCCCTCCGATTCTTGTTTTTTCGGATCTCTGGAGGCTTCTGTAGAAAAAGGTTCTGCATTCACCTGAGCAAATGATGTGCTGTCGTCTTATACTCTGTTCACCGTGAGTGCAGCCAAAGCTACAAGCACAAGCTAGCTTGCGCTCCAAGCTTCGAGACGTGCATTTCTAGTATGAGTGCTTGTTCTGCGAGAGAATGCTTCAAAGCAGCGACCTTGTACAGCTGTGCACACGTGCACAGTAGTGTCGCAAAGTGCCGCACACTTGTTTTAGCTACATTGAGCTTGCCGATACCGACACTTCTATTAAAGTGTTACTCGACAGTTGCTGACGAGCAAATAAACTGACGCTTAGCTTATCCCACATAGAGTATGTGAATAAAACTTTGTCACATTGCGATTCCTGCTTGAAAGAAAAGCAGTAACTTTCATAAATTAAATTGTCGGACATGGCTTTGCAAATTCAGGCGATTCATTAATTTGTTCTAATTCTTACTAAGAATTGTTTACAAATTTAAAATCGCTCGTTGAGGAGCACATCACACGTTATGCGCATTTTGGTCCGCGAAACTAAACATACAAACAGTAGTAATTCATAGCAGGTGTACACCTCATTTTCTGGAATGCTGCAGTGTTACCGACTTACTAAATTTAAGATTTCAATTGCAGGGGGGTTTTGTGGCAACCGGATGAATGAGCAGGAATTTAATTGAAACGACTCCGGAAGCCAGCGACTGCTTCTTCCTGCCAGTTGTTTTGAGGAAATGTTTACTGGTTTTCAAGATTTAAAAAGGTATCAACTTGGAACTAATGAGACCAGCACTCACAGAACACATTGGAAGGATACACAAAGTCGCTTTCACTGAAGTGTTTGCTGCACACACGAGTCGCTTTCTTTTTTTCAGTTTGATGGGACATTCCTTTCTCAGATGTTCCATAGCACCATCAATTTTCTTCTTTTTCTTCCTTTCTCAGATTTATTTTGTTTGAATCACAAGCAGAAAAAATGAAGACGTTCACAGCTCCCTGTAATGCGGAATTAGAGCGCAGCTCTTGAGGAGGTGGGGAGGGTACGCCCCTCTACCACTCCCCTCCCATTTAGCTAGAAATTTTTGTTACATTTCCCGCTAAATTGAGCGGAAAAATTACCCCGCTGAATCTAGTGGTTCAAATTTTTTCACTCAATTTAGTGGGGAATTTTTTCCATTAAATTTAGCAGGAAAATGTTCCACTAAAGTTGAAGGGGAAATTTTTCTGCTCAATTTAAGGTGGAATTTTTCCTGCGAAAATTAGCAGGGAAATTTGTCTGCTAAATCTAGCAGGAAAATTTCTCCTTTAAATATGTCGGGAAAATTTTTCTGCTAAAATTAGCGGGGAGCTTTTACTGCTGCATTTAGTGGGGAAATTTTTCCGCTCAATATAGCGGGGAACTTTTTTTGTTCAATTGATCGGAGAATGTTTTTCCATTAAATTTAGCATGGAAATCTTTCCGCTAAATTTAGTGGGGAAATATTTCTGCTAAATTTAGTGTGGAAATTTTTCCAATAAATTATGTGGGGAAATTTTGCTAAATTTAGCGGGGAATTAGTTCCGCTAAATCTAACAAAGAAATTTTTCCGCTAAATTTGGCAGGGAATTTTTTTCCCTAAATTTAGCGGAGAAATTTTTCCACTCAATTTAGCGGGGGAATTTTTTCCGCAAAATTTAGGTGGGGAATTTCTTCCACTAAACTTGGGGGGGGGGGGGGGGGGGGGAAGTTTTCCACTAAATTAGACGGGGAATTTTTTACACTAAATTTAGCGGGGAAATTTTTCCGCTAAATTTAGTCGGGAAATTTTCCACTAAATTTGGTGGGGAAATTTTTCCACTAAATTTAACGGGGAAACTTTACCGCTAAATTTAGCTGGGACATTTTTTCGTTATTTTTAGCGGGGAAATTTTTCTGCTGAATTTAGCGGGATTTTTCCCCTCTAAGTTGAGCGGGAAAATATTCCGGCTAAATATAGCGGGGGAATTTTCCCGCTAAATATAGCGGGGAAATTTTTGCGCTAAATTTGGTGGGAGAATTTTTCCTGCTCCATTTAGCCGAGGAATTGTTCCCGCTAGATTTAGCGGGAAAGTTTTCCCGTTAGATTTAGGAGGGAAAGTTTTCCGCTAAATTCAGCGGGGAATTTTTTCGCTAAATTTAGCGGGGAATTTTTTCACTAAAATTAGCGGGAAAAATTTTCCGCTAAATTTAGCGGGAAAAATATTCTACTCCTCCTTTGTTACCCTCGTGTCCCGACGTGTGACGTCATTATGGGAAACGTCCCATAATGCAAAGCACGGTTACGGTGAAGCCGCTCAAGCCGGAGACGGGCGCCTAAGGGCTGCGCTCTAAAATGCACCCTATTTGCCGCGGAAGATGTAGTGGGATAAAGCGCTGGATATTCTATTTTCATCATCCTGCTTTTTGTATGGGCGTAGCCCGAAACAACCCATTCCCGCTTTAACCTGTCCCGTTTCGACCTATTCCTCAAACGACCTTCCCATTTCAACCCGTCCCGTTTCGACCCATTTCCGAAACAACCTTCCCGTTTGTACCCATCCAGTGTCAATCTATTCCCGAAACGCCCTCTCTATTTGAACCCGCCCAGTTTCAACCCATTCCCAAAATGCCCGTCTTGTTTAAACCCGTCCCATTGCAACCCATTGGTACAAGGCCCTGCACGTCTCAACCTCTTCGCAAAAAGTCTCCATCGTTCTAAGCCTGGCCTGCACACCTTTTGTACTGAAGAGTATGTTCTGAAATATTTTGGCATGCCAACGTATACTTAAAATATACATTGCAAACAAGCTTCAACGTAATATATTCCCACTTAAAACATTTTTCGTTTTGTTTCTTAAGATGGTCCCCAAAACATGCAACCGCGAAACGGACTATGTACATTGCGCGACGCTATTACCGCAAACATGATGTTGTCGCTTTCTCCCTTCCAGATATTTCAGACTGTTAAGGAAAACAATACAGGGAAAGAGGGCGTGCTCAAGGTTATTTTAATCTGAAATTATTTATGCATATGTATATAGCTACTGTCGCTCTTCACTGCATAAAAGATTGAGTAGATGGTCATTCTCGAAAACTCGTTGTCAGAAGGCACTACTTGTCACATGCTTAGTGGTTCGGAAGTTCACAGCTATGTCTTTTCGACCCGAATAACTGTGCCATTGATAAAAATAAATTAAAAAATAAACATAACAATAAATGCGAGGATAAAAAGCTGAAGAAAAAAAAAAACTATCAAGAATTCGCCGGAAGTGTTGTATTCTTGCATATTCAGAAGCTCAGAACTTCAAAACAAGTTTCTCCTAGCAAAATGTGTGCAGACTAAAAGAAACACGTCCCAAGAACGTGAAGCGAAAAAACAAATGTTTATTTTTTAATGACGTGCTGAACCTGAACAATATTAGATATTTTCACCCATGAGTTAATTTAATCCTGAACGTGAAAAAACAATAAATACATTACTTTGTATTCTGCAGATGGCAATGATATGTACTGTCTGTAGTGTTAATTTAAATGCAATACCTCAAACAACTTAGACGAAAAAAAATACCAAGTTTACGGCTTAACTACCCATAGATACATGTTTAGACATTCGAAACTTATCTTAAATAACAATAATCACATCTTCAATCAATCAATGTTTATTTTTC